AAAAATCAGCAAATTGGAAGAATGCCATTCACGTTGGGCATATTATGGAATGATTTTGAGCTTATTTCTATTATCTAGACGATGAGGATAATAAGCTCATTCTTGACAGATTTTGCTTACCCCATCAACGGTCTTGACTTTTGTTTAGACCAACTAATTGTCTTTTTTCTGCTTACAAAGATCATCTTTATTGTTACCATTTCTTCTTTTGTGGAACTTTTTGAGCATTATTGTTTTTTATCTGTGAACTCTGGGTGAAAAAAATGGAGGGTTAGATTAAGTAGTTAACAACTAACATAAAATTTATCAAATAATCATGACATGAAAATCTTTTTTGAATATCAATTCCACTTTAGTCGAGTATGTGTCGAATGACAATGCAGACAGTTGGTGTTCATCTTCTCGTGATTGCAGAAAAGTTCCCCATTATGGTAGAGGGCTGATGTAGTTGTTAGAATAAGAAGGGTTGCCAATGATAAAGGAGAGCGAGTTTTGGATGTCGAAGAGTCATTTTTTTTCTTCCTATTCGAAGGGTAGGGATGAACGTCTATGATGACATATTGTTGAGTTTCGAGTCAATTAAGAGTAAACTCACACACACAACACATACAAAAAGACTCGAACCCAAGACCTCATAGTTGGAAGCATAAGCTCTCAACCAACAAGCCAAGGTGAGCTGCGTAAGGCATCCAAGACGGGAGAATCAATCGAACATGGAAATAATCACAAAATTTCGGCGATTGGAGAGAGGGAATTGCATCTCAGGAGTCACTCAGGTCGCTCGCATGCGAAACATAAGAGTTTGCGCGTGAAGGGGGTGCTCGATGATTTGCTCATTGGGTCCCGCCTGGACCGGGCTAATTTAATTCGGGTATAACATCTTTGATGTATTTTTTTCTCTATTTTTGTACGTGCCAACAAGTATATAATTACCACCTCAATAATTGGCTTTGTCATTTTATTTGTAGGGTTTTAGAAGCAAAATACCTTTTGACCATTTTTTAAATCGGATTGGACAATGAAATAGAAAATGAAGAGGTTCAATGGTTCAATCGTGATAAAATTATATGATATGATAAATATTAATTTTTTTAAAATAAAACATAATTTATTTAATAATGACCCTAAACCCTAATCATAAAAAATAATTGACATATCATTAAAAATTGTCTTGATGGGCATGAATCTCGAGGTAAAAATCAAGTTGAAAGCTTCAAAAATTAAATACCAAACCATATGAACTCTGATTTCATAAAACTTATAATCGAACGAAACGTCTCAAAAATATGAACCAAACGACACAAAATTCAACTTAATCCAAGCCCAAGTGAGTCCAAAACAAAAACCTGAAGCACATTTGGATGGTTCAGTCTATAATTTGGATTACCTAATAATTTTCAAATGTGGCATGCTTATAGTCAAATCGAGCGGCTCGACAAGACAAATCCAACGAGCCCAAGATCGTCGAATTCCGATATCGTTAGAGCCTTCAAATACCTAATAAACGGTCAACAATTAAGGGATTCAACATCAGCCGTCCATTCAAACAACTTCCAAATTTGCCCATGATCTTCCTCTTATTTACTGGTCATGCCACTCTCAGAAAACTATAAAATACCCCTAAAGCAATAAGAGAAGGAAAAGACTCCTCCTCGACCATCGTCGGACTTTCACTCGGTAGTCGACCGACACCAGAATTAAGCAAGGAAGCAAGAATAGAAGTAAGAAGAGAAGGAAGAGACTCCTCCTCGACCACCGTCGGATTTTTCCTAGCAGCCGACCGACGTTAAAGTTATGCCAGATCGCCAAGTAACGTCGGAGTTCTGCCCAACCATCCAACATTGTCAGAATTTCGATATCTATTTGTAACTGAATTTCAACCCGATAGTTATAATCTAATCATCCTCAATTTCAGGGACGAGCCAGCTACTTGTAACTTAAGAAAATACTAGTTGAATCATTTCAACTGGGCGTGACCCTGCAGTTTTTCCCATTCCATGGTTTTCCATGTAAAAATCCTGATGTTTCATTTTTCTTCTGTTTGTGTGCTGGATATTCGCACAATGCTGGGATGAAAATTTTCTAACTCTATCGCCGCGTATATTCTAGCCCACTACAATAATACTTTATTTTTAGGAGAATTCAAGAGTTTTTTATTTTTTATTTGAAGAATTTAAGAGTTGCATTAGCATTATAAAGTGTATTAGGGCATGATACTGTAGAACGAGGAGTGAGCTATTACAAAAAAACTCTAGCTAAAAATAGAATTTCAAGACTAAAGTTTTATGTAATAATTTTCTATCATAGAAACAAAACATTTAAGATTTTAGAATATAATATTTAACTGTAAATTCTTATATCCCCTTTTTTTAAGAAAATATTTATAATATACGATACTATTTTTAAAAAATATTCTACCTATAAAATGAGCTTCAGCCCCCCGTTGGCGGACACGGACACAGGACACTGGCACATTCTTTGCGCGCGCGCTTAAACGTCAACCTGAATACAGAGGGCCTGAGGCCGTCGCGCTTCGAGCAAGGTAGTTGTTTTTCCCGCGCGCTTTTCTTCGCTCCCGTTCATGGGGAAACCTAAGCAGCAGGTCCTCTCCCGCTTCTTTGCCCCAAAGTCGACGTCTCCTCTGGCGTCGATGGAACAAAAATCACCACCGCCACCATCCCCTCCCCGTTCCAAACCCTCACCGAGGATCGCCGCTATCGTCTCTTTTTCCCCGTCCGCAACTTCCTCTAAGCGTTCCCATCCTCATTCGCAAAACCCGTCCTCATGTGCCAAAAAACCGAAACCCTCGCTCCACGAGAAGTTGGTGTCGAAGCTCCTCGATTCTCCCGCTTCCTCCTCGGTTACTCTCCCAAAACCCTCGGCTGAAAACCCCAAATACACTCCACTCGAGCAGCAGGTCCTCGAGCTAAAATCTCAGCATCCAGACGTACTCCTCATGGTAGAGGTCGGCTACCGCTACCGTTTCTTTGGCGAGGACGCCGAGAACGCTGCGCGAGTCCTTGGCATCATCGCTCACGCGGACCACAATTTTCTCACTGCCAGTGTGCCCACATTCCGGCTAAATTTTCATGTCCGGCGCCTTGTTGCCGCCGGGTACAAGGTGGGTGTAGTTAAGCAGACGGAAACGGCGGCGATTAAGGCACATGGGTCGAACCGGCTAGGACCGTTTTCAAGGGGCTTGTCGGCGTTGTATACGAGGTCGACGATTGAAGCAGCGGAGGATATGGGAAGCGGAAAGGAAGACGGGCTGGTGGGTTCGGACGGGAATTACCTTCTCTGTGTTGCAGAGAAGGAAGCTGTGGCTGGATATAAAGGTTCTGATCTGGAAGGTTGTTTTGACGTGAAGATTGGGATAGTTGGAGTGGAGATATCGACTGGGGAGGTCATTCATGGTGAGTTCAATGACAATGTTATGAGATCGGGGCTCGAAGCCGTGGTTTTGAGCTTATCTCCAGCAGAAATCCTTCTAGGAGATCCTCTTTCTGCATCTACGGAGAAGGTATTCAATTTTTCATGGCTCGTTAGTTTTGTGCTGTTATTAAATGTACTGAAAAAAGATTAGTTATTGCTATGCATGATGGCATGATAGAAGGTAGTATGCTAGTTCGAGCCCTCTACTTAACAACGATATGGGAAAACTTAGCTGGAAGTTATGTGAGTCATCATTGCCATTTGGTGCGGCCATGCGTGTGATGGGTTGAAAAGGTAAGCAGTTTTAAGGGTCTCACTCTGGATTATCATGATTATTTTGGTTGAAAATTAATCTGCCCGAGTGGCTCAGTTAGTTTATTCGAGGCCGCTGCCAGGAGGATATTAAATTTTTTACTGAAGAAGAAATGAGTATAACTGGACAATATTATCCCGTTCAGCAATCAAAGGGTAAATAACTTAGTTACTAGATCCGTAGTTCAGCTTACAAAGACTTGTTCTGTGCTTTGATTTAGAAGTTTGCAAGTGGCAACCTTTATTGACGCTGATTTGTCATGCTTCCTTATCATCTTTGCTGGAAACAATTACTGAAATGGTTAACCTAATCATAAATAAAATGAGTGAAAAGAGTCCTTGTCCTTGTCACTGCAGGATGCTGGCGCTTAGAGATTTATTCCGGATCTTTCTAGGACCCATGTTATCTTGTTTTCTTTTCTGCAGTGACAAGCTTGATAAGTTTTATTATTTCTAACATGAAGATATCAATGTTCAGCATTGAAGATATCAATGTTGACCCATTTTGCCTTACATATTACCTTCTAATTCCTTTCAGTTGTCAGAGTTTATAAGTCCTACGCTATCACTTATTGCATCTTTATCCTTTTTTTCCTTACACTCCCTTGTTCTTTTTGTGGAGAGCTTGTTCGAAATGGCCAGATCTGATATGGTTACATTAAATTAAGACTAATGCAGCATGATTTTTTGTTCTAGCTTCATATTACTAAGAATACTTTAATGTTTGCATGCATTATGGACATGATGTGTAAAGACTAAACTTCTTACCCTGATTTATGATATTGGACTTGCTATTAATTTCATCTAATTTCAGTTATCTGTTATGAGCTGTTAATCTAATTTCAGTCATCTGTCATGAGCTGCTAAGGTACGACAATTTAACATTGACTTCCATGACTTCAATTGCTTTTCTACAATTCATGGTTATTGCGGAAGAGCATCTTAGCTTCATTCTTTGTTTGGTAAAGTTGTATTGTGCTGTTTGGTAAAATTGTATTGTGCTGTTTGGTATGATATGAAATCAAAACCCTCAATGAGATGGAGATTCTGTTATACTAGTGTGTTTTCTATGGTGTGTAGCCATGGAGGAGGCAGAATGTGTATTATAGTGCTTTTTGTTCATGTTTCCCACACAATAGCAAAATTTTGTTTGCCGTTCTCGAGCATATCAAGTGATAAAAGTAATTTTGCCATTGCACTTATAATCATGCTATGGCGTTGGGAAAAAAATTTTTGATGTCAATTTTCAGGCCCGTTTTTGCAAGAAGAGCAACAGTGGCAGTTGTGATAAGCATCCTACAGCCCTTTGTTCATTTTTTGCAGAACTGTTTTTGTTTTCCAGTTCAAGCCTTTGTCAAATTCTCAAAATATTTTCTTCTTCTAGTTGTTGTTTGAGACAATTTTCTTATATTTATAGTCAATTAAACTATCACAATAAATTGCTTATTTAACCTAGTTGGAGTTGGATTTATGCATCTTTCTTATCTGTTTTTACCTGAAAAGAACTTTAATTATTGATGTGCTATACGTTCAAATTATCCTTTAGCTGCTGTTGGCCTATGCTGGACCTGCATCTAATGTTCGAGTTGAACGAAGTTCCCGAGACTGTTTAAATGATGGGGGTGCACTTGCTGAAGTGATGTCCTTATATGAAGAGGTGGCTGGGGATACCCCAAATGTGAAAAATGTTGAAACAAATTTGGACATCAGGAGAGGGAGAGACGATTCCAGTGGGATTGAGGTGAGTTCTTAAAATATATCCTTTTCTTTGATTGTGTTTGTGGCAGGATTACAGCATATGATTCTAGTTTAATTTTTATTTACATTTCTTATGAAATTTTATTTTGCATGGAAATGTCTATTTTCTTATCTTGGCATTTAATTATACTGAAAGAGCTTCTTATTTCATTTTAGGGAATTTTAGCCATGCCAGAACTATCTATCCAAGCATTGGCATTATCCTTGCGATACCTTAAAAAGTTTGGTTTGGAAAGGATTTTAATCATGGGTGCTTCTTTCCGGCCTCTCTCTAGTAATGTTGAGATGACGCTATCGGCAAATACACTTCACCAGTTGGAGGTAATTTTAAATTTTATTGGTTAGCATAATAGAGTAAAAAAAAAAAAAAAAGGTTTAAATGGTTTGCTTTCCAAATACTGATGGTAATCAAAATTTTCATTGTCAAGCTTGATTGTAATATAAAAGAAATTAGGGAAATAATTTTTTTTTAATTATTTGTTTTCTGTTTGCTAGAGACATGCTATAAAACAATGCTATTTATGTACTCAGACATATATGCTTCTAACATGCATATTCTCTTTTGATATGGGATCCACCGATACAGAATCCAGATGAGCGTTACTGGTTAGCCATTTCCTTGATGCTGGAAGATTTATATTTTCATGGATCAAAGGTTACCTGGCTGTTGTTGGCAATAATGAAAATAATAAATGCCAATAAATTAATCAATATTGAAGAAAAAAAAAGAAGAAGAAGAAAGCTTATCATTTGCTTGAAATTTTGTAAATGAAAATTTTCTCTCTTTATCTTATTTTAATGACCCCTATAGATGGTATATGAAAAGAAATGAGAAAAGAGAGGAAAAATGTTTAAATTTTTGAATTAATTTTAATTCAAAATAATTAATTACAAATTTATGGACGTTTTGGAAAACCACCAGCCCACGTCTCACAATTATCCTTTGTTCTGATTCGTAACTCCTTAATCTGTTCGGCTAAAAAAAATGACGAATGAAACTCTAGCCCTGTGTGAAAGAAGGAGATCCCCTGCATCTCTACTTCACGCAAAAAACTCCCATCCTCTTGTCTTTCCTATACACACGCGAATGCATAGTTCACGCTTCTGACGCTCCTCGACCTACTACATAGGGGTGTCAAAACAGGTCAACGGGTCAACTTGGGGCGCAACTCGAATTGAGTCGGGTCCAAATGGGTTGACCCTAACCCGATCCGGTTTTGCAAATGGGTCAAACTCTCCAACCCATACCCGACTTGTGCGAGTTACCGAGTTGACCCAACCCGACCTGCGAACCCGGTTTTGCGTGCAGAGATCCCGGGATGGTGAGTCCTTCTAATCCGGATCGAGCGTTGGTGTGCTTTGTCTAAATCCGCGATCAGCAATGTCCGGGATCAAGAGGCCGTATGTGTGTTCGTGATCGAGCCGTCGAGCGTGATGAAATATGTTATGGCTTATAGGATGTTAAAATTGGTACATTGAAAATTATTGGTATACCCTAGATGATTGAACCATGAGATTTTGATTGGGTTACCTTCATCTCTCATAAACCTCATTAATCGAAACAAATCTTAGATGACTTAGCTTATCAATATACTCTAGGAAGTATATAGGAGATCAGGCTAGCAATGCTTTAATCTCAGTTTCTTTAATTGAGGGAAAGAGTAAACATCTATTATCTTATCTCAATAATGGGTTTTTTTTTTCAACTAGTCAAGCTCTCGTGGTTTTCTTGCTTTTCTAGATTTTTCATGTAAAAAATTTGGTGTATTCTCTGAACTTTTTTTTTTATCTATGTGCCTAATGATCTTCATGCAATACTAAGATGATAAACTCTTATTCTACCACCACAACTTTTCCAGCATGTAATAGTTTGATGTTGTTTATTGGAAACATTCTTAACATTCTACAAAGACTTCTCCAATGGCTGATAGATGTAACATCCACTAGAATGGAATCTACGACTCCACTCATCAATCCAAGAATCTATCCCATAGTCAAGGATGACATAATCTTGCTAGTGAAGGACTCCTAAGCTGTTCCTTGGATTATCGGATTCAATTAATGGAAGGGCATCATGCTCAAATCCTTTAGTTCTTAGAGGAGATTGGACAAAAGATAACGCCCTCATAGTACGATGGAATTCACTTCCACAAAGTCAACAAGAAGCTTGGGCTAGTTAGCTAGTCAATTTTAGGGCACCCCTGGAGGGCCGCCTAATTTTCGTGCTGCAGTTTATCCTCCATTATAGCTTCAACATGATTTCGTTGACATTACTAGTTCAACCCATCCTTCTTGTGCTGTGCGACTAGCCTATAATCCCCCTGTAGCTTAGGTGAACTTGATGTAATCTTGCCTTGTTTACACCCCTTGTGATATCATAAGAGACATACCTCAGCTCCTTGTTTAGGAGTAATTCCCATTAAGGAATAGAAATCAGTTTACTACTCACTGCAACTTTTTGGGGGTAGAAATGGCTGATTTCACTCGGTCTATTTTTTTTTTAAATTTTCTTCTGATTTATTTTCTTATTGCATTCTTGTTTATGTGGAATTCTCGTATTTCTGTTTGCATTTGAAGAAAAGAGCAGAAAAAGCAGACTTCTGATACTTGCGTGAGTTAATTAACTGGTAAACAATGATTGCCTGATTGCACTAACCTCCGAAATATATGTATATCAAGCAACTTAGAATTATCAATTTCATTTGCCATCTTTTTGTGAGCTAATGTTAAGCTGGCTTCTGGCGCTTGCGTTATGGTCCAACTCAAATGTTATGCTGAGTGAATATGTGGTGAACAATGATGCAGATTGCACCGTCCTCTGAAAAATAGTTAATTTTATTTTGTTAATTTCTGTTGAAAGAATAAGGTAGTGAAGGCAGACTTCTGATACTTGCGTTATGTTTTAACTTAAATAGTAAGCCGAGTGAATACATTGTAAACAATGATGCAGATTGCACCATCCTCTGAAATATTGGTACATCTAGCGACTTGGAAATGTCAATTTCTTCAGTTAACTTCTTGATTACGGACCAACTTTTTAAATTTTGTATAATTTGTTTAATACAATAGATTAGATCAAGTTGCCGTTTTGACTAGATATAATCCATGAGAAGCTTTTCAGGTCTTGCGGAACAGCTGCGATGGTTCTATTGAAGGTTCATTGCTACATGCTATGGATCACACTTGTACTTCATTTGGTTCAAGACTTCTGAAGCACTGGGTAAGCCATGAACATGGTCGGAACTGGTCATTCGTTTGATTCTAGTTTTGTTTATCTGTGAGGTGCTTTTAACATTATTATAACTTAACGATTCTTTTTGCTGAAAGATTAAGCCAGGAAAGTGAAATTGTATTAATCAACTTAACTATTGATTGATACGCACAACATGTGTGGATATGTACATGCATGTCAGTGCATGTTTGCTCGTATAGTTGATTTATGGAGATCTGTGTCTGTCGCATGGTTGATTTTGCACTCTGCCGTAAAATGTCAGTTACACTTTAGGTTTGAATCTGCTAATTATTTGAAATTGATTTACCTTTTTTTTTATTCTGTAGGTTACTCATCCATTATGTGAAAGAAACTCCATAATTGCACGTCTTGATGCAGTTACTGAAATCGCAGATTCAATGGGGTCTTGTAGAGGTTTAAAAGAAGAAACTTCATGCAATGAAACTAGTTCTATACTTTCAGAAGTTTTAAAGATGTTGGGGAAGTCACCAGATGTACAACGTGGGATAACTAGAATTTTTCACAGAACTGCTACAGCAGCTGAGGTTCTTTAGCAATCATCCGTTCTGAATCTCTCATATATATTAGAGGCTAAGTGTTCAATGGTCTTGTTAAATGCAGTTAAGAGTTATTTGAATTATTACTTCTAGATTTTATTTATATTTTGATAATCAGGTTAAAGTAAAAATTTTCAAATTAGATTAATGAAATTAAAATTTCTTAGGCGAGCAGAGATTGATACATCTAATTCAAAATTCTAGAATGAATGTAAGCTAAGGGGATAAAATTTATAGGATGGTGAGAGTAAATAAATTTAATAATGTGAAAAATTCGAAGCATAGTACAAGTGAATTTGACATAGTACAAGAAAATTTGATTTTCATCTTTTACTTTTTTATTCCTTTTCTTTTAGGTAAATGTAATTTCAATTATTATTTTCTTGCCTTCTCGTCTGTAAATTTAGATTTTGTTTTATATATATATATATATATATATATATATTTACAACAAAATGTTTCTGTATATGAAAAATAAGATTGGCTTGAAGTGTATCTTGCATTTTGAATAAATGCAATAGTTTTTTTTTGTTGATAGTGAGAAATGCAAACCTGAGAACGTGAGTTTAAATCTTTTCTCTTCCATTTTGTGCATGATTAACCACCGTTTGCTGTCGCTCCCAAGGTAGTTTTTTGACTCTTGTTCAGCACTCCTGTTGCAGCAGGATCGAATAGGTATTTGTGTCTAAGCCCAAACTCCATTTGGGGACAGAATAACAACAAAATAAAATGAAACTAGATAAAAATTATACAACAAAAGAAGGCGCTGAACTTTTCCTGCTCTTCCCCTTGTTAAAAATGAAAGCATTTATTTTATTTTTTATTGTAAGCTGGCCTGATTTCCATTTTTTTTACAGTGCATCACAATTTCAATGATGTTGGAATTAGTATTGTGATCTATTTCAATGCAAAAAAGATGGGAGCATTATTCCAATGTCTCCCATGTTTTTTTTTTAATCCTTGTAAAAGAATAAAAAAAAACGTTTCTGTATTGCTCTAATGTTTTACCTGTTACATGATAGAAGGTGAATTCTAGTTTTTCAAGCCTACACCTTGTTTTTTCTTTTGTCCGTGCAAGGTTGTCGAACGCAATTGAATAATTAGACTCGGAACATAAGTCAATTTCTTAATGTGGGCTTTGATAAGTCATGCCTTTGCTTTGCTGAGACAGTTTTAGATTTTTTGGGTCAACTTTTCAAAAGCCAGATAATGCACTAATTAGAGACTTTGCTTGCATTTTTCGAGGACTTTATGATATGGTTTAAGTTTCTTAAAGCATAAGATCTTCTGATTAATTATCCCTTTCGGTGATAAGAGAGAATTTTCAATTAATGCAAGTTTTTAGAAGCTAAGGGGCTATTTGGCAACAAGTAGGATTTAGTAAATTCTGTAAATCCGAATTTAGTAAATCCTAGGTATGTTAAGTCATGAAAATTGTTTAGCAAGATAGTTGTTAAATCCTATGAAACTATTTGACAACGTAATACAGGATTTAAGGTGGTTAGTTCTTCTAAAAATTAAATTTATCGTATATTTAATTTAATTTATGTGTTAAGTATGAGTTAATTATTAATTTCAAATTTAATTAGCATCAATAAATTATAATGATAAATAATATAATTAGAAGCTAGCTTAATTATCAAATAATTTAACTAAATATTTAATACTAATTATTATAGTACTTATCAAATTACTCATTTAAGTGTTAATTTAATAAGTATTTGATATCTAATTAATTAGTTTATTATTTTTTTGAAATTTAACTAATACACTTGCTAATAATTTAATTAATTATTCAAGTATTATTTTATTAGTTTTAATTATTCATTATAATATTAATTATCTCGTTAATTATAATATTTAACTACTCATTAATTATTACATTGTTAATTATATAATTAATAATTTTAATTTTAAATTATATTTATTAAGCAAATTATATTAAATTTTAATTTATAATTATTTAATTAAACTAGTTTAAAATATTTATTTATACTACTAATTACTTAATTAGCCTAATTAATTATTAATATTTAAATTATATTAATTAAGCTAAATTAAATTTAATTCTCATTTGGATGGTTGGGTGTCTAGGATTTGAGTTTTAAATTTAATTTATATAGTAAGTACAATATGGATGGTAGGTAGTTATAAATTTTCTAAATTAGATTTATTTCTAATCTCATAAATATGTCGAACTCGCAAATTTATCAAATTCGATTTACTGCAAAAAGGTGTTATAGACAGATTTATTCTGCCGTGAGATTTATGTCGAGTTAAAACTGTGTTTGGCAGGATTTATGCTAAAGCGTGCTCAAATCCTATTGTCAAACAAGCCTAAATGCTTCACTTATAATAGTAGCAAATTTGATTAATAATTGAGAAATTAACTATCATGAAATTAAAATGTCTGGTGGGAGAAATGATGAAGAACTCAATCAAGATCATATGGTTCAGTTGGCTCGGTTGCTATGAGTCCTTGTTTACTTGGTCTAAGGAGGTAGCCAACCCAACCTGATCGAGTGATCCTTGTCTGTAGCTTTGTGTTGTTTTGTCCAAGAGAACCTTGTAGATTTGGGGTAGATGTTTGTCTAAGTGCATAAATTAAGTCGACATTAGCTAACACGAGGATTTATACTCCATCAGGTGTACCATATGATTCATTTCTCAAGGGTTTTTAGCAATTGGAGAACTTATGGGCCCTGACTGTGACCATAATTTAATGATGTCATTTTGTACAAAAACTATCTGGTTAGAGGACTCTTAGTTGTAAGATCATTGATTAGAGGACATTTAACACGTCATTATTGGTGAGAGAACGTTTGAGAATAAATTGTAGCAATATGCTTGACAAAATTTGGCTCCCTGTGAGTTGTGGTAATTCTCACATTTGCCACCCTATAAAAAAAGTTAAGAATATTGGATGAATTATGCTTTAAGTGATATGGTGTATATTTTACTTCTGAATTTTCACATTTTGTAATTTTTGAGATTTTTAAATTTTATGTTTGGATGTGCCTTGAAGTATATCTATATTGGGGTCTAGGGGCTTTTTGAAAATAAAGTCCTCTTAGGTCTAGGGGCTTTTTAAAACGGTAGTATCTTTATTAACTTATTAGAAATAACTTTTAAATTCGATTTAAATGAGAATTTGATTCTTAAGAGGACAATAGAGAAAAATAATTCATGCAGCCGACCCCATGTAGTGGTACAAAGGCTTGATGTTGTTGTTGTTGATGATGATGATGATGTGTCATGCACGATTTTTTATTCTTTTTTGCATTTTTTATCAAATTGTAGGCTTTTTGATGCAGCTAAATTGTGCATTTGCAAATTGTGCATTTGCATGCTTTTTAATATACTTATGTGCTGTTCAATGTGTCCATGTTGATGCTTTTCTATGTATTTACATAGTGTACTATTGTACGTGCATGCTTTTAAATGAATTGATGCACTTTTGATGCTCTTATACAATGTAGTTGCATATTTTTTGATGCATTTTCATAGTATATTTATATATTTTTAATGTACTTGCACATTTTTTGATGTATCTACATGGTAAATTTATACACCTTTTAATGCATTTTCATAGTGTACGTGCACATAGGTTGCACATTTCTTTGTGCACCTATGTTGTTTGCTTGCATGCCCTTTGATGCCTTTACATGACACATTTGTGCGATTTTAGAACGGTAGCACACTTCGTGAGGCAGCTGCATGCTCCTCGGGGTAGCATGCTTGAATTTGAAAATTATGGTGATGTGTGGTTAATTTGAAATATTCAAATTTTGCTTATTTGCGCGAGCATTTATTGTTGAGATGTGCTTAAATTTTTGTTTTAAGAATTTAAAATATGTATTATGTCTATTTGTGCTCCTCGGGGTAGCATGCTTGAATTTGAAAATTATGTTGTGATGTGTGGTTAATTTGAAATATTCAAAATTTGCTTATTTGCGCAAGCATTTGTTGTTGAGATGTGCTTAAAATTTTGTTTTAAGAATTTAAAATATGCATTATGTCTATTTATGCTCCTCGGGGTAGCATGCTTGAATTTGAAAATTATGTTGTGATGTGTGGTTAATTTGAAATATTCAAATTTTGCTTATTTGCGCGAGCATTTATTGTTGAGATGTTCTTAAATTTTTGTTTTAAGAATTTAAAATATGCATTATGTCTATTTGTGCTCCTCGGGGTAGCATGCTTGAATTTTGAAAATTATGTTGTGATGTGTGATTAATTTAAAATATTCAAATTTTGCTTATTTGCGCGAGCATTTATTGTTGAGATCTGCTTAAATTTTTGTTTTAAGAATTTCAAATATGCTTTATGTCTATTTGTGTGCGTTAAGAATCTGGTGACGTTGAGGTGAATATGAATCTTGTTATATGTTTTATATTTTCCTTTATTCTTTTTACATATGTAGACCTTAGTGATTCGGGCCCACAAGGAATTGCTCTCCCACCTATAAATATGAAGGGTTAGGTTATTCATTTTCACATTCAAATTTATTGTCTGGGTTCTTGCGAATCTTGAGTGTGACAGCGAGGTTTCGAGATATTTTATTCATTACAAGTTCCTAACATCCTGTTTTAGTTCAAATCTTATCTTTGTTTATAGTGTTGTACGTTACATTTGAAGTATTCATATCGTTTAATTTTTTAGTTTGGTTTTATCATTTTCATTTTTTAGTTGAATTTTTGTTCACAAGTTATTTTCATTATGTTCTTTTTTGGTCCTCTATCAGTGTAAATTTTGGATTTGCATCCTCTATCAGTATACATTTTGGCAGTCTCCTGATGTTTCCCTCACTTAGGGGGCATCTATAGGTAGTTTAGGCTTGCCCATCATGTCAAAAGAAGTGTGCATAGTCGGTCTTTGAAGACACTGCAGATGGAATTTTCAAAATCTATTGTGCCAAGAAAGACTCATATGGGGGTACCTGCAAGAGAGTTTGTAATACAATATGTTTATTCTTGTCATGCTAAGTAAAGCGCACACAAAACTTATTGTCAAGAGTGTCATCTACGACTTTCCCCGGTCATGCTAAAAAAGTACGTGAAGGTTCCGTTTGTTCCACCAAATGTGTTACAATCGAGATTTTTGAGAATTTTGAGTGTTTCATTTTCTTATACCTGCACATAAAGAGTCTTTGAAGATGCAACGATAGTGAGGAGTTTTAGAGAAAAAAATTTACACTTCTCTCTAGAGAGAGAAAGGGGGAGACTTTAGAGAGAGAAAGTGAAAGAGATATTTTTTAGTTCTCTGTTTAGAGAGGGGAAGGGCTAGTGAGTGGGTGAGATGGGGGGTTGTTTGGTCAAGAGAGAAACAGGAGAAGATAGGATTCACTCTATTTTTGGGAGAGTGGTTTTGTGAGAGAATTGTCTTTCTATTTCATAGAGAGAAATGGAAGAGGGAGGGAGAGAGAGAGAGTAGCAAGAGATAAAGAGGAGTGAGGGAAAGGGTGTTGGGGTGCCGTCCAGCATGAGATTCAAGGTGAAAGAAAAATGAGTAGGTGGTTTGGAGGTGTTGGGAAATTTGGAGCTGCGGGTGATGTGCCACCAATGGTGTTGGATAGAGGGTGAGGAGTTGTCGGTAGTGATATCATATGTGAGAGGAATTGTGTGTAGGAGCTTGTTGATGTATGTTAGACCAGTCACTGGATCGATCTAGTCGGTCTATATGAGACTAGCCTGTGTTTACCAAAGGCGGAACAGGGATTCCGCCTCCCAGGTTCCCACCACAAGCCGTGGGGTCCATTAGCCGTAGATTAGGAGGGAAAATTCAAAATAGGGGCTGTTTAGGGATTTCCTTTTTGATTGTATGCTTTAAGTAGGAAAATTTCCTAGGGTTAGGGCATCTTGTGTTTTGGCTGATTTCAGTATTTCTCTTTGGTGATTTGGGCTCTAGCCGTCGGCTAGGGATTGGGAGAGCCGGATCTTCCTCTCGAATTGAAGATTTATTGTGCCTTATTTCTTTCTTTCCATTGTTTATCAATTAAAAGAAAAGTTCTACTACGTTTTATCCATTATTCTTCTCAATCGCTGTTTTCATCTTTGCTGAAATTCAATTTCAGCCACCAATTTTCATGTGTTTCTACAAGTATTTCCTATTAATGTTCTTCAAAGAGAGATCATAATGAGGGAAGATAATGTGCAGGAGATGAGTGTCGACAAGGTTCAAAGGGTGTTCGGCGACAATTAGGGAGATCAGTGTTGGAAGAGAAGGGCTGTGGAGGAGGAGGCAGGTAAGGTTGTTTGTTGTGTGGAGGCTTAAACTAGAGCCAAGGGGGCTCTACGTTATGCAAACAAAGAGGAGAACTGAGCAAGGTTTTGGGGAGGCGAGGATTAAGAATTTTTTTAATCTTTTGTTTAAATTGATTTTTATTTAATCTGGCTTCTTTTAAAAATAAAATAAAATAAAATAAATCAGAGTAAGACCAACTAAAGGTGAGTCAACTTCTCATGCAAATTCTCATCCCTCATACACCTCGAAATATGTACTCTCACCTTGGATGGTGGCAAAATTTTCTTTTAGCTTTCGTCAAACAACCAAGGTAATATGTGTATCTTTTATGATAATTTTGACACGCCATAAGGGTCTGCGTAGTTCGTTTTGTGAATGGACATGTCACATCTGTTGTTTTGACGTCTTTTGTCGCGTTTGATCAAAGTGCATGTCATATAGCCTTTTTGGATAAATTTGAAATTCCGAAAGCATCAGCATAGTCTTTTTTGTTAACAGTATTCGAGCTACATTTACTCGACAATGCATCCATTTGACTTTTTTATTGTGCCAAATCAAATCGATAGTAGGCGCCATTCTTTGGTGATTTTAACACTCTGGACACATTGCCGCAGCCTGTTTTGCAAGTGGGTGATGTTTGGGCTATTTCAATTGTGGTCATGATGTTTCAAACCTGTTTCGCAATACATCTTTATGCCATTGTTTTTGTCTTGTTTGCCAGATGAAAAAGGAGGTTAACATCTTAGAGGGATTAAACATTCTAATTGACCTAGTTTTTTTTTGAAACTGCACTGTTCGTGATATGAATATTATTATTTTAAGGGTAGGCCAACAATGCTCTTTTGACATCTTTTGATTGATAGGTTTGGTGTTGATATAATGGCTTGCATTTCTTGATGTGGAACTCTTTAGATTCTTGCTTTGTTTGTTTCTTTTGTGATTTTAGCACTAACAGCTTTTTCAGCATTGCAGTTCGTTGGGGCCATCCAAGCTATCCTCTTCTCTGGCAAGCAATTACAGAAGCTTTATGCTGAAGATGACGAAAATAATGTTACTAGAATTGTGAAATCTGCTCTTCTGAGAAGGCTAATTTTGACCGCATCATCAACTACTTTAATTGCTCGAGCTGCACAGCTTCTCTCCTCTCTTAACAAGGATGCTGCTAATCAGGGTGATATGCTCAATTTGTTCAATACTTCTTGTGGTCAATTCCCAGAGGTAGGCTATTGCATTGTCTCCAATTTTTTTTTTTTTTTTTTAATGTTTTTACCACAGGTTGCTAGCAGCCAAATAGCTGTTCAAATGACCAAAGAAAAGCTTGATTCATTAATCATTCAGTACCGAAAACAGCTTGGAATGCGGAATTTAGACTTCACCAGTGTCTCTGGAGTCACCCATTTAATTGAAGTAATTCCAAACAGAACCTTACAGCAAGCTAAAATGCTTATTTTATCTTGGTTTTTTATGCATTAGACTGTCTAGATGTTCCTGTGCACCATGTTTGATGTTATGTGGCTCAAATAAAAAATTGTGTTTGCTGTAGATTCTTCATTTATTCGAACTATTGCTCGTAAAAGTGTTCTAGGATTTCATTTCAAGCCTTCTACCGAGTCTCTGCTGTGTATTGTAATGAAATTTGGGCATTACATATGTTATAATTGATTTTATGAGAAATTGGAACTTTGAGGGCTGATTCTATCGAACAGTTTGTAAACACGGATGATATGTCATTAATTCTCTTGTGTTGTGAAGTCCTCTTGATGCAGGACATAAATGCAAAATGATTTGATTAAGAAATTTGCGCGCTTAAATTTTAGAGAACAATAGTAAATAAACTTATATTGATTTTTAGCGATAAGACAAAATAATAAGGCGATAAAACAAGTTTAGGTCAATTCACATGCGTAGAGGTTCAGATCCTAAAATAGCCAATTACTCAAAACGTTGCATACATGGAATGTTTTCATAAAAAATCCTTATAATAACAACAAGACTAGTCACTATGCAATGATCCCTCACTCAACTCCATAAATTACTATACTTTAGTGGAGAGATCAACAAGAATCTTTGTGAATCAAACTATAAACCACAATTGAGAGGTGAATTAGGAAGATATAAGAGTAGGAGGAAAAATTTACCCAAGGGAAAGACAAATACGGAGCTCCGGCGTAGTCGCTTGGATGTTGGGAAATGAATGAACAACAGCATGCTCCTTCTAGGTGTCTTCAGCAACATTTTGGCAATCTGCAGGTCTTTGACAGCAGTTTTGATCCCTGGAAAAGTCTGTGCAGCAACCTATAATGCCTAGGAAAACCCTTGCAGTTCTTGAAGGGTTGCTGGATAGCAAACTGGAGCGAAGTTGACGGCAAAATCTGCTGGTCGGAATTTTCTGGGCAGTATTTCTTAATGCAGAATTTCTGGACAGTTGTTGGGAACAGGTTTCCGGCTGCTAGGGTTTGCTTGGAGGGGCAATTAAGTCGACTAGGGGATAGGGAGAGGTGGCGGCTGGATTTGAGAAAGATTAAGGGAATTGATTTGAGAGCTTAATGGGGAATTAATTAGATAGGGGAGATAGGGTGGGCCGGCTATGCATGGGGAGTTAATTGGGGAATTTATGATTCTTTCCAAATTTAGGTTGCTAATTGTCGAAAGAGAATTAGAGAGAAATCTCTAATCAATTTCAGATTTAAGAGGATTTGGGAGTTTCCAAATATAAATCAATCTCATTAGGAAAGGATTTCAAATTCAATTTAATTGAGATTTGAAATTTGAATTTACCAAAGTTAAGATGATCAAGATTAGGAAAGTATTTAATTCTTTCCCAAATGAGAGGTTTTTATTTTGGAAAGCATTAAGGAGGTGGGGACAAGGAGGGGCCGGCAGCATCAAGGGGAATTTGGGAAATTTTGGTAAGGTTTTGAGACTAGTTCAATGGGGAATCCCAAATTAAAGAGGAATTAATTCCAATCCCATCCAAAATTAATTTGGATTTGATGTAGGAACTTTCCTAAAATAGAACTCTATTTTAGGAAATGTTTCAAAATTCAAACTTGATTTGAATAATTGAAATTGAAAAGCTTTCCCGAAAGAGATTAAGTAAGAAAGGAAAGTATTGATGAGGAATTTGAAAATTTGAAGGAAAGGGGAATTGGAGAGGGGTGGCTGGCGGCTAGAATTAGGGCTAGGGTTAGGGTTGGGTGGAGGTGGAGGGAATTAAGTGGATCAACCAATCAAGGGGTGAGCCACCTTGGATGGCCGGCGGCTAGGTGGGAAGGAGGAAGAGTATTGACCGGAGGTGGGGCCTGGGCTTGAAGCGGAGGCCGACAGTTTTGGGGTTGGGTAACCCTAAGATAACGACAAGGGGAAGGGGAGGAGGAAAGAAAGGATAGAGAATAAAAAGAAAGCCACGAACACGTACTCTTCCAAGATTGGTGGGTGATCCGCTTCCCTCTCCAAAGGATTTCTCTCCAAAGACTCTCCATGCTCTCACAAGAACTCAATATGCCGAAATTTTATAATTTATTCATTAATCTCAAAAGAAACATATGTGGCTTATATATAACCTCCTACAATGAAAGGGAAATAAAAGACGACATTGCCCCTAGGGCGTACATATGACAAAGCCCTTAAGTAAGGGCAAAACAGGAAAAGCTGCTAAAACAATTACATAAAACAAATAAATAAAACAAATACATATGAAGGCTGAAAAGTAGATCTGCGCAATCGTGTACGTTGATCCTCGGCCATATCTCTGAAAGACCTTTTAGGATCTGATGTTTGCATCACCTAGTAGCAGGGAAGTGTTTCTTTCCCAGTGCCGTTGGGAGAAAGGTGAGTCCATTGGGGGGTTCTCTTACATCTCGCGCAGTAATAGATCTATATCTTTCCCTTAAAGGGGATAGCTTCTAGTCAGAATTCTTCTAGCGCCTTCTATTTCTTTATAAGGATAAGCAGCCGGGACCGTCGATTAGGAATTCAGTACCGAACCCATGGAACCTGCGTGAAGGGAATAAAGAACCTCCTACCCTGCTTTTCCATCTTTCTCTTTTCCGGGTCTGAAAACGAAAAACGAAAAGACGATGGAATGCCTTAACTTCAAACCTGCTAACAGACGAGCTTTCAGACTACTTGCTGCTTGCTGGGAGATGAGGATCTAAAAGGAAAGGCTTAGCACCATCCCTGATCTGCGTCACTCGCTTACTTCAAAAATGCTTCAAGTCCTACCGATAAAAGAGAAACAACTAACTTGCTAGCTTCCCGAACTAGCTATCTTGTGAGTGCATCTACTTTCTTTTTGGCTTTTTGGGCAGTGCTAGTAGAGGAGTAGGTCTTGCCTGGCTTGCAAGACAACAAGAAAGATCTATTCTTTATGCTACGCCCTAGGTATCAAGACCGAGCGTGGGGTTACACTCGAAACCAACAAAAGCAACTCTTCAATAAAGTAACTCAACTCGCAATATCGTCGTATAATAGAAAGAGAAAAACACAAATTTGTGTTTTTTCACAGTCTGAGGAATTGCTTCGTTTCGTTCGCACCTTTGGTTCTCCCCGAAAACAACGTCCGACTTGCACTAGCTTTTCGAACTTGGGGTAATGGAATGGGAAGCGCGACTGAAAGGAGCGATTGAGAAGTTCCTGCTAAGAAAGCTTTCTCTTTCTTCAAGCCGAGGAGATCCTATTTAGAAATCATCTATTCTAAAATGAGTTTTTTTAGGGGCTTCGGGGCCGGAGCATTTCTTTAGCGAAGGACAATATATCGGGAGTCAGTCTTATTGGCAGGTCAAGGTGGGGCATAGGATAGGGGCGATCTGCAAGGAGCAAGTCTTCTTCCCCAGAAGAAAGGAGAGATTGGATCAACACCAATCTTACCAGGAGTCCAGTCCAGGGCTGTCATCAATGAAATCGACTGCTTTTTCTAAAGAAAATTGAGTTCTCAGGAATCGGATGCTTTGCACCTTTGTTTTCTCTGTGCAACAGGAACTAGTAGGAAGCAGAAACTATAGGTTCACAAGTACGAAAAGAAGACGTCTCATGAAATGCAGAAAGGAAGTTCTCACTTAGGATTGTTCATGCCCCACAAGTGAGTTTCCAAGTGCAGGCAGTCTCTTAGCGTAGTGGAAAAAATTGGGGTTGTTGCGCTCAGAACACACTTTGAACTTAGAAAGAAAATGTTCTTCATTGCATTGGAAAGAAGGATGGGGAAAGGGGATGCAAGGCTGGGAAAAGGTGATTGCCGAAATCCATAATCAAACTCACCCTTCTAAGTGAAGATCACTTGTAGATATCTCTTCACGGTGAAAAGTCCTCTTTTTTCTCTTCCCCCATTTTTCAAACTCGATCTCAAAATGTTCGGATGATTCTAGAGAACTCCCTCTTTACTAAAGAATGGGGATCGCCCGTCTGGTTCTCGTTGCATTTCATTCAACTCGTTCGGTCTCGCTCAATTTCATCACCCCTACAATTTCCACTTTTTCTTCCTAAAAGTAAGAAGAAGAAGGTTCTTGCTCTGCACCTAGACCACCACAAAGAAGGAACTAAACAGCTGGCTCGGATTAGATAGGGATAGGCTGTTTACTAAGGGACGAAGTGACTAGCTTTAGAATTGAGAAAGAGAAAGAAAAGCTAGTGACTAAGGGACAGGGTATGACATTACTCTATTGACTTTGAGAGGGCTTAGGACTCCAGCTAGAATAGAATATCTACAAGACCACTTTCAATACTAAGAAATGGTAATATCTGGAACTTTCACCAGATCTCATCCGAGAAGCAATTAGCACAAGAGATACTGAATCTAGTACTCGGCCTATGCCCTACAGGTAAACAAAGATAGGACTCTATTATGAAATAGATAGTGAAATCTTTCTAGTAGCTTTAAGCACTCTACATTCTATGACTCTGCATTTTTATATGCTTAAGGTCACGCCGCCATACACCCTGTTAATGAAAAGGCATACCACTACACCTTCTAGAGGTGCTCTAGAAAAGTCAGTATTCTGGCAAAAAAATCGGGGCGGGGGCTTAGCTCTCCAAGAGGCTCGGATAGACCTACATCCAAGGTAACTGCCTTCAAGATTCTTATGGTGGAGTGAGTGATGGAGCGACCAAAAACAAACGAAGAGGGAATTTAGAGAAAGGTCATTCTATTAGCTCGAACGCAGTGAGAATGAGTGCTTTCCTGAAATGAAAATGGCATTCGCTGCTCCTTGCTCCGCACCTTTCCTTCCACAAAGTAGGGGATGAAGTAAGAACAATACCGCTACCGCTTTTAGAAAGAGAACATATGTCACTTCCACTTCATGGACAACAGAGAAGGCTTATAGGTCAACCTTTTTATGCTTATTAGTAGATCCTTCCTCATCCTCTTCTGCATTCGATGGTCCCTGTTGTACTTATACTTAGGACTAGGA